GTTCTCTTGGACCCTAAACTAAAAATTTTCTAAACACATTTCGTCCATGGTTAATAAAGCCAGAGGAGTGCTAGGATTTATTAAAAGGTGGTCAAAAGAATTCGATGATCCTTATTTGACTAAAACTTTATTTATTTCGCTAGTCCGTCCGATTCTGGAGTATGGGTCTCCCGTCTGGAGTCCACAATACGGAATACATATTGGTCGTATTGAATCTGTACAAAAAAACTTCCTTCTTTTTGCTTTACGGCGCCTAAACTGGGATACAAATCTTAACTTACCTTCTTATTCTAGTAGACTTCTTTTGATTTATTTACCCTCCCTAGCCAACCGTAGAACGATGCTTAAATTAATTTTAAATCATTCTAGATCTAACTATGCCTTGCATGAGCCTTTCAGAGTATTATGTTCTGACTATAATAGACTTTTTCCTGTAATCTCAAATCTTGACTCTCTGCCACTCCTAAAACGATTAATACTTGCTTCATTGGCACAAGAGTGATCTAACTATTACTTTTTTCCCCGGACCTTTACCTTTATTTTCTTATCTGGCGTCTATCTTATCGCGAATCGTGCCGTACCTTGGTCGGTTGGGCGGGTGGTTGGTCCGTGGGACTCCGCGAAAAAAAAAATGCAACATCCGTAAGCTTGGCTGGATGCATCTGCGAAACCGTGAACTTGAACGGCTGAGCACCCACTGGCAAACGTGTACCTAGGAATGGTGACTGCGTGAATATTAAGTAGATTCTTCTTTAACCTTTCCCAACTCGTATGTAACGACATCAGAATGGATTTATCCCATTCCAGTTGAAGTTGCCAAAGGCTATGAAGAAGAATTTTAGATATAAGGCCAATGGGGCACAGCAATCCCAAGGGATCAAAAAGCCGCGCGCTTACTGAAAGAATTGTGCGTTTTAAGAGAGTCAATTTTGTAAAGCTCTCATCTAAATGAAATCGAATCCACCGCATACCCAAGGCTGTGGTCGAATCGGTATCATAGAAATTTAGGGAATTTTCAGGGTTGTTCCCTTTTTCTAGTTGTGGATGGTTTGAAAACCATTTAGACAGCTGGAAACCGCCACTATTGAGAATTTCTGACACTTGATTACACATCACGTTCAAGGTGTCAATATCATAAGCTCCAGTAAGCATGTCATCCACATAAAAGTCGTTGCAAATTATGTATGAACCAATTTCATTCTTATCCCTATTACGAACTCCAAGTTCTTGTAAGCTACGGATGGCTAAAAATGGAGCTAAAGACGTGCCGTAGGTGACTGAATTAAGACGAAATATTTGTAGCTCATCAAATGGATTCTCGCGCCATACTATCAGTTGATAGTTACGATCTTCTTCTGCGAGACTTACTTGCCTATACATTTTCGATATACCTGCTGTTAAAGCGAATCGATTTAAACGAAATCTAACAAGTGATTATAACAGTTCCCTCTGAATAGTGGGCCCCACCATTAAAATGTCATTTAATGACTGCGCTGAAGTTGTCTTTGCAGACGCATCAAACACGACTCGAAGTTTGGTTGAGGTACTATCAGGCCTCTTTCATAAAAGCGATGTACATTTCTCGAAGTGAGCTGTATTTTAGGCTTCTGCGCTCTAACGATAAAAATCTACGTTTAGCGACATCGAACGAGGACCCAAGCACGAGCGGATCAGATTTAAAAGGCAAACGGACTAAAAAATGACCACAATTTAAATTGGCTACGTTTTTCACGAAGTTATCCTCGCAGGCAATTTGTTCTGGTGAAAATTTATCAAGTTCTTTATTTTCTGGGACGGTATCTTACTCCCAAAGCCTTTCAAGAAGTCCTCCTAAAACCATGTCTTCCTTCGACAAGACGATTCAAGAAGTAGCTTCTTTTAGTTGTTGCTTACACCGTCCAGGAACAACCCATCCCAATAGTGTTTTTTGTAGAAATGGACCTCCATTGGTGAGTTTGATTTGACCACTGCACAACAAATCAAAACACTGCTCCGAGCAAAATATCAATTCTTTGCGGCTTGTGGAACTCTGGATCAGCTAAGTCTACGCCGGCCGGAATTTTCCACTGCCTTGCAGGAAGCATATTATCTGGCTGATTGCTAGTTATTGTTCCCAGTACCCAAAATTCAGACGTAAAAACGTGTCATTTTGTAGCCTTTCATTTGGTGCTTATTGCATTTTTTACCTGAAGCAAGGGTTGTCATTTTTTAGGGTTTTTTAACTTGTACTTCCCAAAACCAAATTTTATAATTACACAATTGTAAACCTAGAACACTTGATGTCTTAAAAAAAATTGTTTTCCTCCTCGATTCTCATATTAGGTCTTCTTGTCATTTGGAGGTTCTTGCATTTTTTACCTGTAGCAAAGGGTTGGATTTTTAGGTTTACAATTGTGCAATCATAAAATTTGGTTTTGGGAAGTACAAGTTAAAATGTTTTTAATATTTAACTATCTGCTTAAATTATCAACTCATATATGTAATTATTTCGTTCCACATATACCTATTGTGTTTTTTTTTGATTAAATCGATTTTTTAAAATAATTTTTTTTTAATTTTAAATTTTTTTTAGAGTCTTAACTTTTAGGAGATGGGCAAAAATAGGCATCTTTTATTTTTTCGAAAAAACGATTTTTAAGGGGTGGGCAAATGTTTTTTGTTAAAAAATCTGGTGTTTAAGCCGTCGGCAAACGTTTTTGTGAAAATTAACTATTTTTGAGCGGTGGGCAAACGATTTCTTTTTTAAATTCTTAAATTTCAGGAGATGGGCAAACATGGTCATCTTTTATTTTTTCGAAAAAACAATTTTTAAGAGGTGGGCAAATGATTTTTTTTTTTAATTCTTAAATTTTAGAAGATGGGCAAACATGGGCATCTTGTATTTTTTCGAAAAAAACAATTTTAAGGGGTGGTCAAACCATTTTTTCTACAGTTAAATATGATCAAAACTTAAAAGTCGAATATTTTCAAAAGTATAAATATTTTCAAAATTCTAAAAGATGGGCAAACAATTCTGTTGTGATAAAAAAAAAAATTGAGAAAGTCAACTTATATGTTTTCGAATATGTTCGAAAATTTTCGAAGATTCCATATTTTCAAAACTAAAGGTGGGCAAAAAAAATTTAAAAGTGGGAAAACATGGGAAAAAAATGGGCAAACGGTTAAGCTATTCAATTTTCGAAAATTCGATTTTAGTCGGCCCAACTTCTTTGAGCTGTGCAGTGCCAGTTAGCTAAGGTATCATAGTACCCCTATGACCAGCAGTTCCACTATTTGGACGTCTCACAACAATAAAAACCAAAAAACTATCACTTACATAAATCAAAACAAATATATTGCGATTTAGAACAGCTATAAAAATATATATATATATATATATATATATAATATATATTAATTTATTGTTTTATATTTCATTTTATAAGACTTCACAGGACACAACTAACCATGTCTTGGAAAAGGAAACCAATTGTTGAATGTATGTTGACCCCAAACTATTGAGCCAAATTTCCTTTGATATTTCCACGTTAGAATAGGGTATAATTTTGTGGTTACCAGGGACTTACTTGTGGAAAGCGATTTTTTCACTGCCAGAACGGAGAAAATATAATAGCGTTGTCATACACATAACGACTAGAGTTGTCGAAAATTTCAAAATATCGTATCGGTGATATTTTTTTTTATCAAAAAAAAATTGATAATATTTAAAATATCACATAAAAATGTCGATATATTTGATATATTTTGTGTTAAATGAAAAATTTGACCGCCCACAATAAAACGACAATAAGTTTCTTTTTAAAAACAATAGTAATTTATTATACATATTTTATGACCAGTATGCAGGGTTTAGGGATTTTAATAACACCTTTTGCGTTATGTGTGCGTCAGTCATCCTGCTTCTTGAGTCGCACACAACACATTTCATGGCGGACGCCGTTTTTTATATCCGTATAGTTTTGATTTTATACTCAATTTTTTATTTTGCGCCTGAATTCTTTCAGTCGATGTCGCTTTGGAATTCAGAGTGACCAAAGACAAAAATATCAAAAAAGATCAAAAAAATATCGGAATTCCGATATATAATATATCATTTTTAGGAAAAAATATAGATATATTGATATTTTGATGTATTATCAACAACCCTTATAACGACTCGTTTCGGCATGCAATTCTCTTATACCCTCTTCCCATAGAGTCCATCCGTTCGAAACGGTTGAGATTTTTGACAAATATGAAACACCGATTCCCACAAAGCACATCCACCATCCGATAACAGCTGATCAAATCATTCTAGCCCGTTGCACTTGCACAACATTTAAAATGAGCATAACAGTGCTACAAATGATACTTGGTAGCAGACTGCAAGTGATCAATGCGAACAACCAAATCTGACTATGTCTGCAGGTTTTTGCCAGCCTTCAGAAAAAATATGGACAGCTATTGCCCAATATTGTCTAAATAGTAAAAAATCAAGTTCATTCCATATAAATATGTTTGTTTTTGGTTTTATCATAATTTCACATTTAATTTTATTATTAATGTCAAGGATGGCAGACAGCCAAGCTCAATTCAATGACATGATCTCGGTCTGCGCTCGCTACTCCTCCAGCTTTTCGCCACGAGTTCGTCCTTGTGGTCTACCTTTGCGCGCTTTGCAGGGGCCGCAGAGCTGCCTGAGCGTTGACTTCCGCTGCAGAGGATTCCATGTTATTTGGTCCACATCTAAGACCTTTAAAAAGTATTCCTTTGTACCTGCGATAAATATATTTTATTAGTTAATTGTAAACCACAATGGTGTTTTGCTTCATGTTGCGAGTACGGTATGCGCCTTTGGATGGGGAACTAACTAGGAGTTTTGGAATGGCAAAATCTTGCAGACCATCCGTTCAACGGATGGTGGATGGATCTCTGTGGGAAGACGGCATTACACAAATGTAGGGTTAACATGTCATTACATGTAAAGTGGCCAATGGTAAAAGAAAAATGTTTTTTTTCAATGTTTCAAATTTTTCAGAAATTCTTGAGCCATTAAAAGTCTGCAGAGAAATTTCTTCGCTTCACACAAGTATATATTGTTTTAATATAACACCTGAGTAAATATTGAATAAAAGTAAAATTAAAGATTATAAAAAAACATTACCGTCTATTATACTCAATTTCTATTTCGCAGATATAAACGTTGTTTTAAATTGTTCAATCATGTTATTTACATGATTGGATCTCTTGACCCAATTTACAATTGCTCTATCTAAGGGTGGCTTATTGATTTTAGTCAAAATTGTATCATCGTTGGATGTAAATGTATGTGGAACCAACTATAAAACAGATATGCAATCTCAAGGACAAGGTCAACAACTATCGCAGCTGCAACCAGCGAACCATTCATTATTACAACATCAGAATGTAACGGGAAGTAATTTACCCGTAAAACAAAATGAACATCAGTCTCTTTCATCTGTTGGTAAGAAAAAATCAAACAAGAATATGCATATGTCCATACTTATAGTACATACATACATAAGTGTGCATGAAGCATATAATAAATGTAAAATCCCTGCATTTTAATGAATTCCACATGCACACTCGCTCGCATATTTCTATGTACACCGTGAATAAAATCAAAATTTTGAATCTTAATTACCTTGTCACTTGACATAACAAATAAATGTTTTTAGTTATAATATTAAAAAATTAGTAGTCCAAACATTAATTTGTTATACATTTTGTATTAAACAAATGATCTCGCAAAAGCGAGTATCCTTTCGATAGCCTTTCCTATTAAGAGCTTCGCTTAAAGCTTATAAAATTATCACTATTTTTATTTGAGGGCCTTTAACCTTTTTTACAGGTAAACAAATTTGTCAATTTATATATGTGTACCATTTTAAAATTTTATTTTATACATCGCTTTAAGTAAACTTCTTATGATAATACAATATTGAAATTTAAAAAAGTATATCCATATCTCTGTGTGAAGCAAGTTATCCTGATCAAGAATATATATACTTTATAGGGTCGGAAAAGCTTCCTTCTAGCTGTTACATACCTTTGCACGAATATAATATACCCTTTTACTCTACGAGTAACGGGTATAAAAACAAAAATTATAACTTCTTTGTTTTTAAATATACATATACGGATACATTCCGAGACATAGTCATTTTTAACAAATTGATTTTGTGGGTTTTGATTTTATGAAAATTTTGACTATCGACTCTACCAAAAAGCTGTTATAGAAACAGTCGTATAAACCAGAAATTAAAATCTTCATATTTTGCATTGTTGTGTAAGCACTCCTGAACCAGATCAGGTGCTGACATTTAAATAAGACAACAACATCACCTTATTTGATCTCTGTAACGCTCCAGTAATAACACGAAGTTTTCAGTTTAATATATTTATTTGCACAGTCGTTGACTGCTCGCTTTTGTTGCTTATCTTCGACTTCTTCTTGAACTCAACATACGACTCGATCCACCTAGCGTCGTGGCGAATTTATGGATCCCGTGTTGGGCTCGAATCCCGATCAGCTGGCACAGGTTCCCACTAATATCAAGAAGAATAATTAACGAATATGTTACAAAAAGAATGGCAAAAATATTATTAAACAAGAAAGGAAAGCTAACTTCGGGCGGAACCGAAGTTGAAATACCCTTGCAGAATATTCTGCAAATTATATTCTCCAAAATTATTCATATGATGCATTCTTAATACTCATAAAAAATCCCAACTTCCTAACTTTAAAAACACCAAAGTTATCCAATCGTTCAGTTATGTATATGGCAGCTATAGAATATAGTCGGCCGATCCTTATGAAATTTAATATGTCGGATTGATTGGGCAAAAATAAAACCCATAGAAAATCCCAACTTCCTAACTTAACAAACACTAAAGTTATGGCATTTCCGATCAATCAGTTATATGGCAGCTATAAGATATAGTCGTCCGATCCTTATGAAATTTGGTAGGTCGGATTAATTGGCCAAATATATAACCCATAGAAAATCCCAACTTCCTAACTTAACAAACACCAAAGTTATGGCATTTCCGATCAATCAGTTATATAGCAGCTATAGGATATAGTCGGCCGATCCTTATGAAATTTGGTACGTCGGATTGATTGGCCAAATATAATACCCATAGAGAGTCCCAACTTCCTAACTTAACAAACAGCAGAGTTATGGCATTTCCGATCAATCAGTTATATGGCAGCTATAGGATATAGTCGGCCGATCCCGGCCGTTCCGACTTATATACTGCGTGCAAAGGAAAGAAGGGTGTGTGCAAAGTTTCACTACTAGTTCGCGTAGAAACAGACAGACGGACAGACAGACGGACAGACGGACATGGCTATATCAACTCAGGAGTTGATCCTGATCAAGAATATATATACTTTATAGGGTCGGAGATGTCTCCTTCACTGCGTTGCACACTTTTGACCAAAATTATAATACCCTCTGCAAGGGTATAAAAAATAGTTTTAAAAAAGGACGGTTGGAAAATATACAACCAGTACCCCTTTTTTGTAGTATTCAAATTAGTCAAAAAAGAACGACCTAAAAAATGCATTTTTGAACAGATTCGTCAAGTAACTTATTTTTTCGGTAGAAATCGGAATCCCTTCATATTTTTTTTCTGATGCCAGGAGGAATTTAATATGCTTTATACAAGTGTATTTTGTTCGATGTTCTGGCTGTTTATGAACTTGGTTTTAACCACTGTCCTCTTAGAATACAAATCGAAAATCTGGCTTGACATTCAGTTTTATAAAAACTTAATTAAAGTAGTGTGTTGCGTTATACTGATGTTGAAACTTGCAAAAATCTAATCGCCCAAAACACATATTTTTTAAATTATGTAATACTACGATTTGTTTAATTAAAAACATTGCACCAACAGCATGCTGCAAAAATATTGAAAACAAAATTTGTAAAACTTTAATTTTTACACATAGTAACATAAAGTATTACTTTGACTTTTTTAAAATTGAAGAAAAAATAGAAGTACATAAAAATGTTTGATTTTAATGCTATCAGAATGTTCTTGTAAATACGGGTTAAGCCGAAATGTGGGGTTAGTGTACCCTGATGTAGCTTCCTTTGAACGCGTGTTTGAATTGTTGCCCGGGCTTAGAGTATGTCTAGTTTGTGGCGGCAGGGCTGTTGAATGTCAGAGCTGTTTCCGGTAGCCAGTCATCCCACCATGGGACTGTCAGCTTGTGGATCGTAAATTGGACTCCATTGTTTGAGATAAACTTAGGTGCACCACACCGGGTCTCAATTTTTTCTATCAGGATCAGGACCTTTATCATATTTTCTGAGGACGCCTTTCTCACTTCCGCGAGGTCTACCCATTTTGAGAACTTGTCGAAGAAAACAAATAACATGTTTTTACCGTGGCTTGCACTTGGTTATGGTCCGAAAAAGTCAACGCGGTCTGTTGTAGCGACGTTTTGTAACTTCGGCATGATTCGTAGCGTCGCTCGTATTCCTGGATTTTCAGATACATGTCAGTAGTATTGTCAGCAGTTGCCAGCAGTTTGTCTTCCGGATTGGAAATTGGCCCGATGTCGCCTATCTATGGTTTTCTCTCAATGGCTGTGTATTTTTATCCTTCGCAAATGATGCTAATATTATGTCGATATAACTTGCATTCCATAACTGCATAGTCTGTTTGAAGTTTCTGCATTAACCAGTCATCCTCCTCGACTTCTGCATTCTGGATAAAGCATCTTCCCAGAAATATAGCTTCCCTTGCGGTAGCAGACGCAGACTTCGAACAAGTATGGATTCACAATTGAGTTGAGCCACCTAAATGCTTGGTGGTCGGATATGACTACGAAATGGCATTCTTCCAGGTACAAACGCATCTCTTGTATCTTTCGGAGGCTATGTATTTCTGTTCTGATTTGGTTAGTTTCCGGCTGTCGTAGGTGTTCGCCATTCTTGTCTATTTGGTGCTCATTTTGATGCTCGCGCACTCATTGCTCGAGTTCGGTCGTTCAGTCGCAGAGAGGCTCATTTTGAAGAAGGTTGCGCCTGCGCTAGAATTGGTCTTTATATGTATGCGTGTTCATGCATTCTCATACAGGGGTGCATGTGTGCGTTTATTTCAATTCGATGCAGCAAGAATATTTTGTCTTTTGCTACTTTTTATAATGCGTACTAAAAGGCTGCAGGGCCGCATTCAAAACGGCTTATGAGACATTCATCTGCCAATGAGTTGAATGAATTCGGCTGCGAATTGCAATGAATGTGAATGAATGTGTGCGCCGACGCCGTACTCAACTCATCGAACTCACACATAGAGAGAGCGAATTGAATGCCGAATGAACCGGGTAAAAGTTTCTGGCATCAAAAAACGCGCTCTCTCTCTCTCGTAATAAGCGGCGCACAAATTGTATTCTGAGTATTCAGTAAATTCTATGCTTCATTCATTCATTCATTCCGTTTTGCACACACATTCATTCAAAGCCATTTCATATGAATACTCAAAATTGCACTCAAATGAGAATACAGTGCGATGCGAACTCGATCAGCTGAATGCGTTGTGCTCAAATTAGAGTACACAACTCAAGAGTACTGAGAGAGTACTAAAATTTGAGTGCAGCCGAGCAGCTCTCTAATGCGTACCCTAACAATATAAGCGTATTCACTATTGGGTTAATGATAAAAATAAGAGTATTATATGTTTTAATATATGTTTTAATATTTCAGTATAAATTTCATTTTGGTTTACAAATTCAAATCAGTGGTAGCAGTAAAATGTTTGGTATATATGTATGTATTCCAATAATTAATCAATCTACTGAGATAGGAACAAAGCACATCGCAGTCGGTGTCACTTAAAACACCGATTGCTCTTAAGTGGTTGGGAAAAAATACCCTACCGACGATTGAATTTTAGGGGGGCGGGCAGAAACAAAAACAGCTGTTTCGAAAATTATCCGTTTTACAATGCTATCTTACCAATCACAAAATTGGATAAATAAACTTTTACATTGTTTTAGTTTTCGATCAAAGTTTACTTCTTTATTGAAAATATTAATAAAAATTTAAGAAAATCAATTCGAATATTTTTGGATAACTCTGATACGTTGGTTAATTTAATTTATTCTATAACACAACGATTTTTCCACATAACTTTCATCACACTTTCACTCTCTCAGACTCATCAGCTATCTATGGGTATGGAATTAGAGCGTCAGAAACTCCTCAGTGCACTATGGGGTTTTTGACCACTTTATGTGGCATTTAGTCATTTTTTAAAAGTGCTCTAATTAAAAAAAAACAAGAAAGGAAAGCTAACTTCGGGCGGAGCCGAAGTTGATATACCCTTGCAGAATATTCTATAAATTATATTCTCCAAAATTATTCATATGATGCATTCTTAATACTCATAAAAAGTCCCAACTTCCTAACTTTAAAAACACCAAAGTTATGGCATTTCCAATCGTTCAGT